CCGAATAAAATAAAGCTGTTAAAGTAGAGTTAAAGTATTATATTTTAATGCCTGCATATTTTATAAATACCAATAAAAAGCACGGACTAGTGCAACCTTAGTAGTCGTCACATACCGAGGATTCCGTGCAAACTCGCATACAAATATGTAGATAGTTCATGTTCATCAATCAGTGCGCTGAAATGGAATTCGGCCAGTCTTCAGGCGGACCGATGGTCGCTGAAGCCGACAGATACTACAAATGTAGTGTAGGACGTCCTGCAGCATGATGGACCGACGACTTGAGGAAAATGGTTGGTAGCAGATAAATGCGAACTGCCCAAGACTGGGATGGTAGGTGCTCGTTGGCGGAGGCCTTCGTTCAGCAGTGGACAACAGAAGGCTGAGGTTAAGTTTTATTGTATAGGGTGTAAATGATCAGCAGCATCACCTGATAAGTGACTACCGCCACCCGCCTATAAACACTTGACGACTTCGTCAACCACAGTCATAATCTTCAATAGATTTCCTTAGAAATAAAGTTATCCATTGCTAAAAGGTTTTAGTTGGATATTTTTGTTTTTACTTCATCCGCATCATAGATTTCCACCTACTAGTTTTTATCTCTATAAATTACTACTAGGCAGAAACCAAATAAAGGAATTCACAACAGTTTCGGATTGTGACTAAACCTTTAGTTATAAAAAGAATGACACATCTAAAAGAATGTATCACGTGTTTCCTAATACGGTAAAATATGACGTAGATTGTCTAAATAGTTCAGTACATGCCTGGCGCTATCAGAATACGTGTGATGTGGTTTCTGCACATGGCAATAAAAAGATGTAAATATATTTAAAAGGATCACTGACCAAGAGCCATTTTCAAATTGCTGGAAAATAGTTTAGCAATTCTTTAACTGTAGGTTCTTTATCAAGCATTGTGATTTTATCTATTTAACGATGTCTATGTAGAAATTTTATATAGTTATATTTAAATATATTTTACATAGAGTATAGATTTTGACTAGTGTGATATGTGTTTCCATTAGACAAGTTGAAACTATTCTTAAGCAGTGATTTCTATGGCATTTTAGTGAGAATTAAAGGATAAATAAACTTTAAAAATATTTAAAAAAAACATAGGTGGGTAGATAATTCAAGTTCAGTTTGACAACTCAACATGACAAGTGTTAGTTAATATTTTGAACGTTCCATAATTATTTTTTAATATTTATCATACTTAATTTTAGCCAATAGTCCATTTAGTCGAATATATTTAAATTGAAAAAAAGGGCTTGTAAAAGTATTAATATTAATAATTTCCATCATGCGGAAACGTAAACAAGAATATACTGTAAATTCAAGTCAGTACTTGAGTTTTAAGTGAATAAAACTTAAAACGCATTACATAGTGTTTAACTGCCGCCTTCCGAAGACCAATACTCCTTCATCATCATCATCAACAGCCTATACTAGTCCACTGCTAGAGTAAACGAGTAAACGGATAGTGGAAGGGAGCAACGATATCAGTTTTATTTCCCGTTGACCTAGAACTATGAAACTTGGCAAGTAAAATCATCTTATTCTACAAATACAGGGCAAAATGTAAAAACGTTTTATAACTTTAGACGTGTCACACGCGGTAGTCTGATGCTTTGCTAACCAGACTGCTGATAGACATACCTATATATTTCTAAATACACACATATTATAGATAAATGAAACCAAGGCACACAATTATTTGTCCCTGGTGGGAATCGAACCCACGACCTCTGGCTTAGCAGTCAGGTTCTCTTTCCACTGACCAACAGGGCAGTTTAAAGCATCATATGTCATTCGAAACATATTTTTAAATGTCATACTTTCAACTAAACTTAACTTCCTATTTTTTATGTATTGCAGTTTCACTATATAAATTCCTAAGTCAAATATGTCCTCAAATAGGTATCTAAATATGTAACATAACAACACTAAAATCCGGAACTAAATAAAATCGCAGATCTAATTTTTTGTGTTGTTTCTTGATAAGATCGTTTCAAGCTACTGGAGGGTGGTAACTGGTAATTAACACAAATCGGTTATTAAATAATTTATTTATCTTTTTATTCCATAATAACATTATGAAACTTAAAAACGCAGGCAGGTTTTCTTTTAATTAATGCTGTGGTAATAGCCGTTCTTTTTTGCAAATGTATAAAGATGACATTTAGAGAGCAAGGTCACATTTTTTAAATGCTTACAAGCTTATTCACTCATATTAAATATATTTAATTAAATACAGAAAAGATACATATCAGCAATTTTTATTGCTTCTATTGCTCCCTACAATGCTGGAGATTACACACAGTTCTTCACATTCACAGCCCCTCGAAATCAAAATGTCTACGAATTACATCAAGTTTAAGTTAAGTTAGCTCTATTTGACCTGTTTAGTTATTTAAATCATTATAAACATCTAGTAACTAGATAGTCACTATATTAAGTAACTCTGCAGCATATTAGACCGCGTATTCTTCTTTAAAACTTTGTATTCATGTTCATACATTCATACAGTTTTCCTGAAAACCTTATTCCGACTACTACTAATTTAAAAAAAAAAGTTGAAATGGTAAAGCTGTGTCCAAGTGATGTGGGTACCAAAGAACAGTGTTTTTTTTAATTAATATGAATAACTTTGTATGATAGTTTGACAGTAAACATAAAATTAATAAACGTAATAAAATTTTGTTATTTGTTACCTAAAAGCTCATATCTCTATTAATAATTCTCCCGTTTAGTGTAAAGCCTATTTTAACTAAAAGCTTGTGCAATAGTTTAATATTATAAAACAAATATGATCTTATTTATAACTTCATATTTTTATTTGAGCTCGAGATTTTTGCAATTGATAGTGTCACTATTGCAAAATGTTGAAAATCCTAACATGTTAGATCGACCCTGCAATTTATATTTAAAAAAAAATTGAAATAACATGAAATCTACATCTGTTACAAAATTAATAAATTATTTTTATGACTATCAATTTTCCATTCCGTGTCTAAAGATAAATAAATAAATATATTAAAGCAATTTAACAAATATATCCGATAATAATATTTTGATACAAAAATAGTTTGTTCTTTTTGTTCTTTAAAATTTGATATGAGAATCTTGAATGCACTATGCTCAGGAACATAATAAATAAAGGACCAAGGAGTTTAAAATGAAATAAAAACAATAAATATCCATTTATAACTAATAATAATAATATTTTCACTTATTCCACACACGGCCGTCTGATCCCAAACTAAGCAGATCCTGTAATATGGTAACCAGACTGCTGATAAATATACTTATATATTTCAAAAACATACATATTATAGATAAAGTACACCCAGACACAGAATAAATGACCTTATATCGAACCCATGACCTATAGCGCAGCAGTTAGGGTCAGTAACCACTAGACCAACAGGCCAGTCAATCCACTAATCCTGCATTTAGGGTTACTGCTTTTTTCCTAAGCGTCATAGTGTTATATTACTTAGCTTGTAAACATCCTCAATGAACACTTTACTTAAAAGAAAATTAATTATCCGACTCCTTTGTCAGATCACACAAGATGTTACAACGTTCAAGCAAATAAACAAACAGGCAAAAAAACTGTTCACTTTTATTATATTTGTATGTATAAAACGTGCGGGTATTTTAGAGAAACGAATACACTATTGTTATTTTTAATAAATTGAAGCCAACAATATACTACACAAATAATACGCACTCTTATCACGTAAGCAATGTATTAAGGAAAAAGGTTGTGTACAAATCCCTAATAAATAATAATGAAAGTCGCATTTCTCTCCAAAAAATACGGTTATCGAGGTAATAAAAATTCTTAACACCGAATAAATAATATAAACATACACCATAGTCACCGAGAACAAAATGAATTTGAGATAAAACTCAAAGATTTCTCATAAATTGGTACGTAATGAAGGAAACCCGCAGTCCCCGTTACCTACACAGTCGCTGTCAATTTGTATGCGTGTCCAACTCCAATGTAATCTTTTAACAAGTTGTCGAGTAATGGATAAGGGTTTATTCATTCATATTTATTCACTGTTGTCTTTTTTCCCAATTAAAAATATACCACAGAAGTTGATAACATTTGGACATTAATTTAAATAAACCTGGATAAACGTGTCACCTATACCATCATACACAAGAAAACGTTTTTGTTTTACACATAATTTAAGAGTTATGAAATTTCTTTATTTAGACTGATGATGTTGTAAAGTTATTTATGGCTGTTAAGAATAATATGGCACCTATAAAATATAATAACTGCCAATTCTGTCTGATGTTAGACGCAAGAACGAACGCTTTGTAGGAACAATAGGTAGGTACGTGGTTATTACATTTATATCTGTTATCTAACGTCCCCTTGAAGGGTTAAACAACCCATAAAACATTCAAAGTTGACCGAGGTCCCGTTTTTACTCATGTTTGTATATAACTTTGTAAAGTACAAGTAGATAGACGTTGTTTTAACCCCACCACTAAACTTATCCACTGTTTATGTACTGACCCCACGTGCGAAACACTAAAATATAAACCACACGCGTACTTGTACTACTTAACAACCTTTTGTCGTTGTTGCCGTCAGTAACAATTAGTCATTTTAAGTCATTTAAAAAACTATAGAAAACACAAACAAAATCTTCAAATAGTCTTTACTTTAAATCTGTGTAAACGTTCGACTGCCTATTGTATCTTTGATTAGGTGGGTTTTACCTTTATCTTGTTGTTCAAAGACCTGTAACTGCGGCGTCCATTCATGTGTCGATCTTCTAATAGTGAGCTATAATTGACTCAGTTTCAGTGCAGGCCGAGCTCTGCGCACGCTTATATGCGTCCACCAGGCGCGCACACCGGCCACTGTTTATATATAAGGAGATCTTGCGAAACCGTTAGCACATTCGGACTACAACCTGTCCAGGAAGTCACCTGCTTCTTTTGTCATCTGTGAAACGCGACAAGATGCTGTACATTCTGGTAATTATTGTACGGAGTACTGTGTTACAATCTATGCCATCGTTTTTTTAAATTAAACAGTGTTAAAATTTGCATAGTCAATTCTGGCAATAAATGAGTGTTTTGAACTATCGACCTTCCTGTGATTGCGCGGTACCAGCTAAGTGATTATGCAAAAAGAAATATCTAGTGTGTGAATGTTTAGGTTTACCTAATATAAAGGTAAAGGCTTGACATTATCTATGTCCCCGCCTTTTAAGTTCGTTCCTATATCATTAATCTGTCGAAATCCAGCAGTTTAAGTAGGTGTATTTTATGTTAGACGTCCAATATATCTATCATGGAATCCGTAAACATGAGTAAACTTCAAATCAAGAAAATGAATATATTAAAACTAATATAAGACTGAACAAAATTTTACAAAACCATAATGTCTCTATTAAAATACAATTGATTGTGAATGGTATTTTAAAAAAGAATTTCAAATAGGTAATAAACGTGCTTACGGAATATCGTAATTGTATTGATGAACACATGATAAATAAATTGTTGAAGGTTGTCTAAACATAAATGTGACAATGTAATACTCGTAGAGAAATTGTTGGTAATGGTAATAATATAATAATAATATCTTGCAGTTTCTGGTGTCGACTCTCCTGGTGCAGATGAGTATCGCCAGCCCCTATGTTGATAACCAGTCCAGTGCTCAAAATATTCCATACGAATTTGACACATCAAACATGCCGAACTCATACAGATTTCAGTAAGTACACACTATCTCAAAACTGTTTTACTTCAAAACTAACCTATTTTGTAAAATAGTACTTTCGTTTATATTAAGTTAATTCGTGTTTAGTGTGTGTATGTGGGTATGTAATTTTATATTTACAAGAAACATACTAAGTATTTAATCAGCATTTACTACGGCTTCTAAAGAGTGTAGGTACTTCACCCGCTTGACTAAAATAAATGACGGCTAAAAAACTTGAAAATACTTTTAAATCAAACCGAAATAATCAGCAATTTTTTATATTAAAAAAATGTATGTTTTTTACTATCCATGTTGATATATTATAACTAACTGGCAGATCTGGTCGGATGGCACTGTCTCTCCGTCTGTTACGCTTTCATATCTAAACCACTAAAGGAATTTTAAATAAGTTCAGAAGCAAGATAAACAATATATTTGAAAAGAACTTGACAATTTTTTTTTGGGTTAAATAAAAACCCTGCAGTATCAAGGCTTTTATGTGAGTCTAATTTATTTCTTAGATATCCTTGCATTTTGTTAAGGAATAATGAATAGTCTACATTGTTGACCTATAAATTACTATTTTAAGTTTATTAGAATAGAATTGCCAAAGAAGTAGATTTCCTGATAATAATAAACAAAGCTTAAGTAAAGGCACTGAAACAGATATCTGTTTCAGAGCCTTTTCTGATCGTGGCGTGGATGCGCTTCGATTTTTCGAAGAAATGAAAAAAGAAAGTTTGCATGGTAGAAATTCTAAGTAACGTAAGTTAGTAAGCTAACTTCGTTTTAGCTAATGTTTATTACGATAAGAAGATTTACCAACGATTCTCATAGATATACATGCATAGGTAACTCTACTACACCGAAGTAACGTAAGAATACCTGAAACTAGAAATAGAAAAAATGCATGAGCATTCAGATGTACCTTTTTCTCGTAACATTTTAAGAATTTAATAATCATTTAAATATTAATGAACATGTTTAACAGGTTTACTTTGCATTTTACCTAAAGCGGAAAGGCGCCAAAAGTTGTTTGTTCGGCTTAAACACGTGGAGCAAAGAAATAACAAAATTGCATAATTTTATTTGGATATGTTTTGTTTAGTATAAGATTTGATAAAGTTCTTATGTATATATAACATAAATATTATGTTATATATCCTTGTGTACAAGATAACGATACGGTTACCTAGATATTACATATGTGTATTAATATCACACCAAACTAAGCAAATAAATATTATGTAAAAAAATATTTCTATCTAAAAATCTACATTTTCGCTTTACCAAACGTGTGTATTTTTTTGTTTTAACTCATGTTCAAAATAAATGAAAAGGTTTAAAACAAAAATTTCATTATTCTGTTTCGTTTTCTTTTCTTCTTGTGTTGTATTCTCATTCTTAACTAAGTTTTAAACATTTTATACTTCTTTTGGTGAAAATACTGAAGGCTGTTTGCCACATTATAATTTATGTTTAGTACGCTAAAACCTTTCTAGTATATTATAAAATAAGAGATTTCCAAGTATATAGTCACTCATCACGATATCTCTGGAACTATTAGAGATAAAGACTTGAAATTTGGTAGGAATATTATTTTCACCGAGTAGAGGTCAGCTAAGAACGGATTTTAAGAAATTCAAAAAGAAATTTATTAAATAATGTATATAGCAAAACAACGTTTGCAGAGTCAGGTAGTATATTATAAAATGAAAAATGACACGCATTAGATTACAAAAGGCTTACAATTTATCTCAAGTGTCTGTTTATACGTCTACTCTATGTATATTGTATATAATATGTGTGCATTACTGATTCACTAAATTTATTTTGCTATTTATCAATGAGTAAAAAATATTATGAAAAATTTCCAAACGTCAACAAACTAGTAAGATTACTGATTTAAATAAGAATTTAAATAAATTACTTAATTTTCTATATCAATTTGTTATAATAAATTTGTAATAAAATATACAAATATAAATTAAATATGAAGATTCCAAAAAAAAAAACATGTAAGCAGACACTGCTTCTGTCTACGAGGCATTAATTAAAGGTCAATAACCTTTTAAACATATTTACTATTGATCCCAAAATTTTGTGGACGAACTGACCGAAATTCAGATTATAACTTAAGATGGTTTGTCAAAGAAAATTGCTACTTTGACTGAAAGTTCAGGACCTGCTACCTTAACTGCTTAAAAGAACACAATCGTAGTTAGAAAGAAGTAAGAGTGTAGTGTTTTTCAGCTGACAAACTTGTGTGTCCAGAGATCCAAATTAGTCAAGGATAGGGTTGACATTGCAAGCAAGCAATAAATTGTGTGACAATGTGCAAAGATAGTCTACCATGATGGGATACCGGGAAAGTAACTACTTAATGACTACCTTCCCACTGCTACCAGTAAGGATGCTAATATTTACTTAAAAAATATATAGAACAACTAAAAACAATTAAAACATACTGTAATTTATATGTTAAAAACATATTATTATGGTAGAATCTGTTGGTTTTCAACAAGAATATCTTAACAAATGTAGAAACAATTAACTTACTGAAAGTATTACGTCATTTAAGATTATTAGTAAACAAGTAACAACATATTTTTTGAGAATAATATAGTCAATGGACAACTTTATTTAAAGGTAATTAAAACAATCATAATATTATTTTCTTGTACAACATAAATATCACACACTCAAGTCACCTTGATAAATTGCTATAATTAATTGTAAGTTTTTATTTACAAAAAAAGCGAATGGAATGAGTAGTACATAAAATTTAAAAACAGAATCACGGCAAAACGCTCGGCCCAACATGAGAAGCTGTGAAAGTTGATAAACACTTTAATGTTTAGAAAACATAAAGTAATAATAGTTTTCTTAGAAAATATTAACACAAATATTACACAATGTTAACGTACTCAAATTCGCACATAACAAAATCGTTATATGTGAGATGTTGTTTTGTGCGCTGCCGTACTACTAGAGATGACAGAGAAAATTAACAATTAAACAAACTGAGACTATAACTATATTAAAAAGAAAACAAAGAGGACAAACATTCTTTACTTAAAATAAAGCAGAATTAAAATGAAAATAAATGAATGTGTCTGCGTGTATATGTTGGTGTGTGTGTGTGTGTGTGTGTGCTAGCTGTACCCTGCCATGATTCGCATATTTTGGTTGCAAGAAATACGTTGTATATCGTGTCAAAATTTGAGCTCAATTGGTGCAGAACTTTTTAAGTTTTTGAAGCATACACAAACCAAGTTAACATTTATATAATTATGTATACATAGGATTTATGATAATAAATATCGATGTAACTAGTGCATACCAATACTGATACTAAGAAGTATTTACATACATAAGTAAATACGTACAATCATGCATAGGTCATCATGCTTAAGTAGTCTATTGTAGACTAATAACCAAGGTAGGGCTTCACGCAAGTGGTACTAGGTAGAACCAGCTGTATGTTGGGTGCTTAAAATTACAAAACATGCTTAAAATAATTACACTCTACTGCAATAATATTATAATATAGTCGAATAAACTTTTTTAAGAAAATATTTGGTTAGTATAGACACGTTTAACAAATATGTCAATTATAATGTAATATTTGGAATACTTAATGTTTAACTGTAGGATAGTAAAAGTTAAAAAAATTACACATTTTTATAATACAATGTTAAAAGTTATATAACAACAGCTACATTAAACTGTAGGGATCCAGTATATTTTCACCTGCCATGGTACAAAAATCCATACAATGACAGTTCAAGTTACATTGGTCAACAAAATAAAACAAGACATTCAAAATAGTCGAAATTCGATCGCGAGGCGATCTCTAGTATTAACAAATTGGTTAAAATTAACAGGCAAAAATTTAGATCACATTCTTTACATCAATTTATTCTAATAGCAAAGTTGAATAGCTGACAGACTCGTTCGCCCACATTCTACTAGACATGAAGACATCTACTAACTTACACTATTTATGTGTAGATGCATATTATATACGAAAAAGCCATAAAATAAGATTAAAACTTTAACAATAAGTACATCTTTTTGTTTTCTTTCTAGACAAATTGTTAAATAATGCGCGATATGCTAATCTTATAAATTTGCTTGAAAGTTGGCATTAGGTAGGCAAAAAATGAAAAATCAATAATAAAATAATTTACTGACCTCATCCATTCCATGTTGTTATTTTTCCTTCATCGTCCAAGTCCGAATCATATCATATATATAAGTGTTTACAAGCATCTTTTTAACAACAGAATCAAACTATTCCAAAATGTTGCATTATAGCTACTCAAACGAAGGGACGTGAAATAAAGTGTGTTTGGAAGTAGACACCTGTCAATAACTTTTTGTAATCACTTTTAAAAAGACAACTCCCACACCAGGAATATATCCTGACTTCGTCTGCGTAGTGGTCTACATCAGACATCGTAAAGGTTACAATGAATCAAGATTACCGTTAAATCTATAAAAGAAGATAAAAACTAACTGGTTGACTGAGCTACTGACTGATTGAACAACTTTTAGCTTAGCTAACGATACATAGTGAGGTCATTAGGACACTATTTCTTTATAGACAACATTTTTAACCGTCATAATGGAAGTCATCGCTTCCAATCTCAAGGTTCTGGCATTCATAGCGACGGCTCTATGTTCCTGAATTAGTTGCATACAGTCTTAACCCTATTTTAAACTAACGCCATTTAATCACTTATAGTAATTTTGAAAAGTAAAAAAAAAAAATTCGTTCCCCATACAAACTTGCACCAGTTTTTAAGGGTAGTTTTGAAAAAAATAGCAGCAACGTTTTTTATGACTGTTAATAGTATTTAATGTGAAGTGAAAACGCTACTACCAAATCTAACAAAGTTGCATTTAAGCTTCCAACCCCCATTTCGCACCCTGAGTTGCGGAATTTTTAATAACCCTTTCTTAGTGCACACCTGCAGTGTGTGTGTATATGTGTGTTCGATCAGTCA